GCCCAATAGAGCCCAGTACAATGGGGTTCCGGGACAGAAATGCCAACCAAAAAACCAAAAGGGCAAAAATTACACAAAAGAAAACTACTACAGTAAAATCTCTATAAATTAATAAATTTGGGACAGTATAAATTCTATTAATTTAAAGAAGTATTATTTAATCAATAAATTAATAATTTTTTAATTTAATACACAGACAGTCAGTCTGTTGGACTTGAATGAATGAAAGTAATTTGAAATTTAAATTTTACAGGTGTTTCATGGATCTAATTACACTACCATCCAACTTTTAACCTTGGAAAAGCTCGAACAGCTTTTAGTAATTAAGAACATAGCCCAGTCAAATAGCATTATCAGGTTTAAGCGAAAATCAAAACCACAAACTGATCATATATAGTCCATACATATATTGCATGCTTTGGAATTTTATGTTTTTTTTCCAAAAAGAAAGCCTGCGAGCCTATGAGCTCAATCTTTATCATTCATAAAGGCGGAATTGATTGATAAGTAGCTCTTACAATATCATGGAACAATTCAGACTTATCTTAAAACTTTATAGCCAAAGTTTTTATTTTTATTTTTTTTGTAGTAAAAAAGAACCATGCATGGATTTTGGAAAATCAAAAGGGGCAGCGAAAAAAAGGGCCGCAATTCGTAGACGCACAAAGGTAACGAAGATATCTTTGTTTGAGAGCATCTTTATTAGGTGATAATCCAACTTTTCCATTCATTCTTCCTTAGTCAAAAAGAAGGATACAGACTCGTGCATGATCAGAACTTTCGTAGCAGATCAACTGCAAAAACTTGGAAATGAAGTAAGGGAAGAAGGAAGCTTATAGAGAGCTATGGCCCATGCAACACTAGACGCTAAAGAAACTAGACTGATCTTGAATGGAGCATATACTATTAATATAGAGCTCTAGTTGCTGCATGTTAACATATGATGATTAAAGTTTTAAGGACGTAAGGTGTCTTTTAATGATTGTGGAAATCTCCACAAGGATTATACTTGTGGTCTTTGATTTTCTCTTTCTTTTTTCCCTCAATAATAAGAAACTTTTCTTCCTTCCTTTCTTCCTCGTGGTGGGATGGGACTACATGTCCAAAGCTCATACTTTTCTTCAACCTGATACTTTCATTATTGGTTTGTGTCGAAATGCATGCACGAGTGATGCTACACTTTCCTCTTTCTACCAGCAATGCGTGCTTTTTGGGGTGTGATGACAAAATTGTAAAATACCGATCGATGAACAGATTAAATATATTCCCCTGGAGAATATATGCTAGAAATTGACAAAAGTAGAAATTCTTTTGTTGAACATTTTCTGAAGCTAACCGATCGGTGCTTTGCAGTAGCCATGATTTTCAAGGAAAGATGAGTTTTTGGGACTTCGGAGACTGTCCTTCTAGTCAAAGTGTCAACAGGAATCAACAGGAAACCCTCTGGTCTCGTGCCTAAATTTTGCAATATGCAGCCAAGAAATATAGAGCTACACCGGGGCCCGGTTAGATACTTGCACTCGGACAGTTGTAAAGAAAGAAGCGATAAAGAAAAAGATACGGTTGGACACGAGATTAAAAAAAAAAAAATGAAAGAGTTTTATCACAAGTCTCTCACCAGATTAACGACGGGAGAGATGCAATTTTGACTTCCGCTTGCAAGTATTTCTGATCCTTATCCTTGTAAATATTTTATATCATCTTGGAGTCTTATGCACGTAAATTTTGTTGGTGTCAATAGTATATTGTTGCATCTCTCTTTTTGTTTTTTTTTTTTTTTTCTTAATTAGATTAGTCATGCAGTTACACCTTTAGCTTTGCAAAAAACCGTGGTAGGACGTGGGAGTCCCTTCAAGGAAAAGCTTGGACTAGAGAAAAAGAAAAAGGTTTTCACTTAGAGACCTGGTCCCATTGTACGTTGTGTCTCTTTGTGTGCTAGAAAAATTGGTCTTGATTTGACATCAATCACAATTAGAGCTACCACTTGGGGATTGGAATAGGTCCTAATAAAGCTTAGACTGGAAAGTAGAGGCTATCTAAACCTACAGTTCAAGATTTATTAGTTTTACCAATCTAAAGCTTACATGTCCTCCATTATTGTACTAGTATATGCTCATTTTCCATGTGAGCTCATACTTTGTACATCTTGCATTTCTGTCTATGTGATACATAAAGCAATTGATCTAGACGACAACAAAAAGTTCGAGTAGAACAAAAATAGGTGGGAATTTATCAATTAGACGTAACCATACATTAAATATTTATATTGCATTGATTAGGTTGAAATTATATGTTATAGAAGAGGACTAGCACTTAATCCAAAAGAAGGCAATGACATGTAAACATGGCTACAGATTCAGAACCCTCTGTTTCGACTTTTTCTGAAAGGTGCAATCTAAACCGATCCTTATAGACAAAGAGGAAATTATGGGTTCAGTTCTTAAACCTCTAATTTCAGTAAGACTTTGGTTTCGATTTTATTTCAATTACGGTTTTGGTTCTTTTAGTTATGCTTAAACATTTATTATTATAAAATTAATTTTAAGAAAATATGACAATGGATGTAATGATAATAATAATAATAATAATAACTTTATTGTATTATCATATGCAAGAAAAAAGAAAAATTGATGCAAATTTTATGAAAAAAAATGTCTTATTGTTGTTTTGGATGGATTGGTCTGTAATTTAAATTAGTTATGGGTTATAGATTATGGGACTGGGTTGTTGGGCTAGAATTTGAACTGCTGATATTAGGTGTCGACTATTGATATTGAATACTAAACTAACCAAATAGGTTTAGGTAGCAAATATATTTTTTAAAGTAGTTTGAATGAATCCTAAACTCCAGTCCCAATTTCGGTTCAAATTTTTTGTTTAACCTAAACTTGAATCTTAGTCATGGTTATGGTTCAGGTTTCGATTTCCAAAATCCGATTCCGGTTCCGGTTCCACAAATTGCCCGTTTGATTCCGATTCGGATCCAATTTAAATCTGAACTGTGACTACCCCCAATGACGTGTGGTTGATAGATACTGACTTTTACCCAACAATTAATTTTCCAGCTCCATTCGGATACGGCCACCATAAAAGGAGTTTTCCTCAACTTGGGGGAGGATTGAATTCGTAAAGAAGCTCCCACTTTCTAGCAACTGCATCACTTGTATCCAATCTAACTTAAAGAATCTTCAAAGCCACTTTTGCATATACATCACTCTTGTCACAATCGTACAGGCTATATGGTTGTGACCCAAGAAAGAAAGATAATTCGCAGACCATTTTTTGACATGGCATGCAAGGTTCTAACCTTCTTCGTTTTGTAACGCCAATTCTGTGCCCCTAATGCATTTGCCCGCAAACATGTTCCGAAAAGCAAAAAAGATGCCATTTTTATGGAAAGCAACACTAAGAAGCTATGTAATGTTTTCAGATTTGGATCAGATTCCTTTTCATAACCTGTTAACGTGGTCTGGTATGTGATTTTGAAACATACATATCCCAGTTTGTACAGTGTGGGAAAGTGAAAAAGATTGGATTGTTGAAACAATCATATCCAGGTTTGAAACATGGTCATATCCAAGTCTAGATTAATGATAGAGAATCTTTATTGTGAGCTCAATTATTACTTTGTACGTGTTAATTACATTTAGACTTACTTGAACAAAAAATTTTGACGTCCTACGTTCCTATCTTCTTTTTATGGAATATGCTACTTCCCCATCTATTGATATCCAAAAGCTACATAATACTAGTTTCACATTACTGTTTTTCTCGTTCTTGCATATGAAGTGTTTGTCGCGTTATCCACAATATCTAACACAGATAGGTAGATCCCACTTTGGTAAAGACATGCAGGAAATGCTATTTACGACAGCACAAATCTTGAAGTGTACTATAAGGACCTTTAGTTCATAGAGTAACCTGCATAAACTAGATTTTTCTAATAATTTTTCTGAAAGATTTGCACGAAGTTAACTCTGTTTAAGTGGCGCCGCTAGTTTAGAGTGCAAATGAATCAAGATCGTGCTTGATCAATGTCAAATTCAACCCAACTAAGTTGAGTTAACGAACTCGAGTTCAGTATAAAAAAATTCAGCTTGTTAACTCGCGAGCTGACTCTTATATGTGTGTGAGTGTATATATATTATTTTTTATTTTAATAGTGAAATTATATATATATATATATATGTATATTCCTAATATTTTTATTATTTATTAACAAAAAAAGACTATTTTATTCTTTTTTAAAAAAATAAATTTTTATTTTTTATTTTTTTAACTTTGACTAGGCTCGAACTCGAGTTTTACATTGAAAACTTGTCGAGTTCGAGCTTGAAATTCAATCGAAACTCAACTCAATTATGGCAAAACTCGATTCAACTCGACTCATTTGCAGCCATAAATTGCTCACATAACTACAGGGAAGCTTCCGTATATATTTTGAAAATATAAGATTTTCAGGGATTGTGACGTTGTATTTCTTTTAAAATTTAATGTACACTAATTATACGTATAATTGCATTTATATATTGAAATTAGCGTTCACAAATATAATTTTCGTGTACAACGAAACGAAATGATATAAGCATACAACAACCGTACAACTATACAAAAATCTAAACGATAGAGGTTGGTACATTGAAACTACTGCCGACACTTAGGGCAGACCCGCTTTAGTAATTAACAATCAAAATTTATGCCATCATTTGGATTCATAATCTGAGTATAAACTTAGATTCAATCGTGTACATCCTTTTGCGCAGGATACATTAATAGGGTAAAATGCAAAATTAAGCTTGCGGCGAGGGTCCGATCCAAACAAAGCAACAATTATTATTATTGTTTGTTTCTCTTTTGTGGGGTAAGCAACAAAGCGGCATTTTTATTTTGCAGTAACAAAAACATATAGTATTATTTACCACCCGCATCTTTAGATCCAAAAGGATAGCTTTCACTAGTAGATTTAGCAAGAAACGCGGATGATGTTAATCACCGTCGATTGACTAATATATATATACATTGACGATTTAATTATAATCATATGATAGAGCTGGAACCATCACTTTACAAAACCGCTTATTGTTAAGTCTAGCTAGAGGTGATTCAGTTCTAAAGCTCCAACACAAACCTAGCCTTTTGACCCTAATTCTCAGCTGCCATACATACATACATACATATATATATATATATATATATATATATATATATATATATGTCGTGGAGCTATAAGAAGACGAGGTTTTCATGAATCAACCCTCAGAAAAGCAAACCCTGATTAGATCTTGGGTGGTGCAACAGGGTATGGTAGGTGAAAAGACATAAAAGCCCAACACGACGTACGCATGCATGGCATGGCCAAGAAATATAGAGCTTGGGCAGTTTGGTGATTAACTAGGATATTTGCCTCAATTTCGGTTTTCTGGACGTTAGTGCAAAGATGATGGGAGCTGCATGTTAACCAAGATTTGGTTTAAATTGGCCAGTTTCTGTCGGAGGTCGATTGACTCGGCCATTAGTCGGGTTGAGTCCATTTGAACCGCGCGATATTGGTGTGAAACCAAGCACAACTGGTTCTTTAATTCTGTATTCTCGAGTTTGAGCTGGTTCATTTGGTTCGTGAGTTCTTCCAATTGCTTCTTCTTTCTCAACCTGGACCGCCTAGCTGAATCCCGGTTGGAGATCATTCGCCTGCGCTTCCTTTCTTCTACCGAGTAAACTGACCTGTTTGTTTCGGAACCGGAGGTTGAATTGGAAGGCATTCCATTTCGGGTTGTTTCCGAACCGGAGTTGGCATGAGTTGGGAATCCTGATTGAATTAGAGACACGAGGTCATGAAGGTCACTACAAGTGAAAGGATCTTCAAGAACCGGGGGGAAATGGAAATGAACCGGCTCTTCGCAGGACATCATTTTTGCAAAATCAAAATCAAAATCACCTAATCTAGGGTAGCCACAAAAAAAATGAACCGGAGGGAGGAAAAGAGGGGAAAAGGGAAGAAGTAAGGCGTAGGGGACAGGTATTTATCGGGAATGGGAAATGGCATGTGGGACCAACTCAGGATTCAACTTTCAAAAAAGGGGGGAGGGCTTGCGTCCAAAAGAATTTTGAGTAGTGTATTGCTTCAGAAAGGGAGGAAAAAAAATGGAATTTTAGTAGTAAGTGTGTGTTGTGTGTGTAAGACATTGGAACATTTGTGTATGATCAGATGGCATTGATGGTGAGGGTTGCTGGGGACGTCATCGTGTGCTTTTATTCAAGTTGGTACGTACTAAAAGAAGATTAACTTAATCTCGAAGAATCAAACCTGAAAACAAGAAACAATAAATCATATGCCGGATATAACAAAAGATTGAAAGACAGCCCCCGCCGTAGTCATGTGAATTACGAATTTTAGATGATAAAAAGTTGTCACTGTTTTCAATCCTGAGAGAGCCATGTGGAATGTGGTTCTTTGTGCTTTTGTCCTTTAATGGCCAAAGGATGTCCAGTTCAAAAGAAGAACCATAAAAAAAAAAATAGTGAAAGTGATTGTGGAGGTCACAAACTAGACTAATCGTTAGTGACTATATAGCTTTTTCTTTTTTTTTTTAGTTGGGGAGTAAGAAGCTTTTCTTTTGTATGAGTAATAAAAAAGGAATGAACAAAGAGTTCCAAACTCCATTTTCCCTTTAATCAGTAACTATGTAGTCAGTTTGTCTAGCTTCTACAAGCAAGAATGACATTCCCAAAGATTTAGGGGCTCAAATAAGTGGAGGTCCCATGCCCAAAGAATTGGAGATTGTCCATGGTGAGTTAGTGAAAACATATGCATCCTGCAGGCTTGATCTTGTACCCACGTACATGATAAAAACGTCCGGTCTGTATGTATTTTTTTCAGCACAAGAATTTTAATTGAATGCTTAATTCTAATAAGAATCAATAGAATTACTTCAATTACCTTATCTTATCTACCAAATCTACCCTTGTTTGTTAATTATATTCAAAATTCTTATCTAATTAAACAATCTAATATTCTCTATCTAATGATTTTCTATTTCTTTTTTCTCCCTTTTGAATGATTTTCACATCTTCTCCATACTCCTCATATAATATATTTCATCTTTTATATTAATTTTCTTTGAAAATAAATATTGTCATTTTCATACCTAACATTTTTAGTTAATTAAATCATAGGTTCTATTTCTTTTTTAGATGAAAAGATAAAAGGACAAATTTGTCAAATTTAACTTATTCAGCATTCAGTTATAAATGTTTATCAAACAGTATAAATAGGTTTAACATTAAAATTCAGACATTCATATATTTTTTTCAGTGCTTAAAATTCAGCAAATTAATTGTTTCAGAATTCAGACTTCAGAATTCAGATTCAGTTTTATCAAACGGAACCTAAATCTTACGTAAAAACTCCATTTTTTTGGGTGGGGGGGTGGCATAACAATGCTAGAGAATAAATGTAAGTGCAACCAAACAAATGTGTTTAGACAAATTAATTAATTAATTAACAGAGTCAGAAAAATGCAAAAGTAGATCTTGTCTTGGTTCGTTAGATTGCATTAGCACTAAATGAAGAATATTCCCGGTCTGTTTTTAGTTGGTAGTATTACCTATAGTATTCTTGATTGGCAGTTAAATGTTTCTTGTCCTGTTACCATCAAGCCAATAAAAGTGGAGAGGAACATGCAGCCTATTTATTTTCAGGTTTGCTTTGTACTTGTTCCAGATAAAGTAAAGTTATAAAAATAAAAATAAAAAAAAAAAAAGCATTGGCATCCCGCGTTCCAAATGTTGGTTTCTTCGTGGATTTCTACTTGCTAGTAGGCTGCATGTTCAGATGTTGTTCATAACTTTTAGAAACTTCCCCATTCCATATACCTTTCAACTTTCCCCGACTTCCCTTAAGAAGGAAAATCTTTTGCGCAAAGTAAAGAAGGCATGGGGAACTTGGAATGGTAATGGGCGGTGTGGGAAGTGGGTTACATGGATATACACTGTTCCTGAATTCAAGAGCAGAAGGATTATGATTGAGACAGCCGCTGATAGAAACACTGAGATGGATCAAAGAATTCAAGGGTCTGATATAACATTGAAAGACTGGATGCAAATATATATGGATTACTGCTATGTATATATACATATATAATAAGGTTGGATCTAAGATTACACAAATTATGTATTCGGTAGTTCTTGAAAGATACCATATCAGAAAGAAAAGAGATACCATATATGTCAGAAAGAAAAGAGGTACCATGTCAGAAAGAAAAGAGAACAGTATAAGTTTGGCAAGAGACTTCGCTTACTGCTTTTCTCTTCACTTTTTCATGGCCTGTCCTGTGTCCCGATCGATCTTGAATCTTCTTTTGCTGCTTTTAGGACTAGTTTGCGAGTCCAGGAGCTAGCTAGCAAAGCAAACTTGAGTACGAAACATAAAAGAAAGAAAAAAGAATAAAAAGCGTGGTAAGAATCCTCTCAACTTACGTGGGAGAATCGAGAAGAAATGCATGATTTGTTTCGATTTGTTCAGTATTATTACTGCAGAAATTTGTGCTGATCAAGAATCTTATAAGCCTCCCCTCCACTTTCATAGGCAATTGCAAGAAGGGTAATTAAATCAAATCAACAACGTTATACTCTTCTTAAATCTTAATTTTGGTTTGACAGTTGACTGAGCTATAAGAGATCCACCAATTCAAGTTAAGTAGCTCTCGATATGTGTACATCTAGATTTCAGTTTTAGGACAATGCTTTTTGAAAAGTCAGTGAACATTAAATCTTGTCTTTTTATCGAAAAAGACATAAGACACACACACCCAACTAATTAAATTGACTGAGGGTTAAAGCTAAGAGGACCTAAGAGGTAAATCTAAGGGGGGTCCACAGGTTTGCCTTTCAGTTACCAATTGGCTGTCCCACATCGCTAGGATGTGGGTTCTTTAACCTCAACTTAAGGTCCACAGGTTTGCCTTTCAGTTACCAATTGGCTGTCCCACATCGCTAGGATGTGGGTTCTTTAACCTCGACTTAAGGTCCACAGGTTTGCCCACAGGTTTGCCTGAACGGTTGTTTCTTTTTATCGAAAAAGACATAAGACACACACACCCAACTAATTAAATTGACTGAGGGTTAAAGCTAAGAGGACCTAAGAGGTAAATCTAAGGGGGACCCACAAAGCTTACCTATCCAGTCAATTGGTAACTGAAAGGCAAACCTGTGGACCTTAAGTCGAGGTTAAAGAACCTACATCCTAGCGATGTGGGACAGCCAATTGGTAACTGAAAGGCAAACCTGTGAACCTTAAGTTGAGGTTAAAGAACCCACATCCTAGCGATGTGGGACGGATGCCCATCCCCCCCCCCAGCCGATCTCACCACCTGAACGGTTGTTTCTTTTTATCGAAAACGACATAAGACACACACACCCAACTAATTAAATTGATTGAGGGTTAAAACTAAGAGGACCTAAGAGGTAAATCTAAGGGGGACCCACAAAGCTTACCTATCCAGTCAATTGGTAACTGAAAGGCAAACCTGTGGACCTTAAGTCGAGGTTAAAGAACCCACATCCTAGCGATGTGGGACAGCCAATTGGTAACTGAAAGGCAAACCTGTGAACCTTAAGTTGAGGTTAAAGAACCCACATCCTAGCGATGTGGGACGGATGCCCATCCCCCCCCCCAGCCGATCTCACCACCTGAACGGTTGTTTCTTTTTATCGAAAACGACATAAGACACACACACCCAACTAATTAAATTGACTGAGGGTTAAAGCTAAGAGGACCTAAGAGATAAATCTAAAGGGGACCCACAAAGCTTACCTATCCAGCCAATTGGTATGAACATTAAATCTTGTCGAAGTTTAATTTTATTAGTTGATTTCATCATCAGTCAAGAGTTCCCAGAGAAAAGAAAAAGGTTTTCATTCTCTCTTTCGCTTCTCTTCCATCCAAATCTTCTCCGTTGAACATAGGTATCAGTGCCTCGAGACACCTTATCAACCACTTGTAGAGATAGCAAATGAGCCGGATAGGAGCGATTTGGATGGGACTTAGTTGGGATTGCAAAATATGGGCTATACCCAAACAGTTCCACATTACTTAGTCATGAGATCAATATGGGCTAGACTAACAATAGGCTAGACCCATTTTAATACCGCCCAAATACCAAATAAATCACATTTTGTTTTTTTAACTCTTCTTTTACTAATCAAGTGTCTCAATATTACTTGCTTTTAACATCATTTAGTTAGCTTGTTTAGCTTTGTAAAATTTTCATGCAATACTGGATAGCCCACCCCACCAGAAAGCTAAGCCGGGAACAATGTGAAAGTATGATGGGGCATACAAATCTCCTGCTCATGTTTCTGAATAGTTTAGTGCAACCTGAGACATGGAACGCATGAAAAAGGCTTTAATCATCGTTCAGCACCTTTGGATGTCGATACCTTCATTGAAACAATAAACTTATCCAGAAGGAAACCTTCCGCAAACCCCGAAAAACTAGCACCAAAGAACCTTAACGGACAGAAAAAAGATGGGATCGGAATATAGTAATGGCTCTAAACCCAGCATTAAGCTGGCCAACGAACAGGAACCCGGAAAGCCAGAGAACCAGAAAAAGAGAAACTCCTGAAGCTCAACTGCCCGTCTGATCAATAAATCTAAGAAGAACCTAGGTAAAACAATTATATATATGAAATAGATTCATCTAATGATACAAGAGACAAATATTTCCAAGCTAAAGAGCATATGAACCAATAACGAATGACCTGTTGATTCTAAATAGCAAGAATGTACATCATGACCCGTTCCCATACACAAAACTTGTGAATTTTCTATGCCAGCAATCATACAGCCGAGTTTGGGTGTGTTGTTTCTAGGGGACAGGTCTCCCATGAAAGAGCGGGGAATATGGGTTTATCCACTAAGTTTTGAGTGCTGTTTGTCTTCTTTAAGCTCGCTTCAAAATCACCTCCTCCTTCCAGCATTCATCTTTTAGAAAAATTTCTTTAAACATGCTGAAACAAAATCCCACTTATCACCAGACATCATGTACTCCTACAAGTTCACTGGAGGACTTCCCTAAATTAAGAACATGGAGGACAAGTCAGAAACATTTTGATAGCGAACCTTATATTGAAGAAACAGCTAATATGATGTGAAACTAGTCTAAGGACTAAAAAGTCCGGAGAGAAAGATGCTTCACCCACAATTGCTAGAGTAACTAAAAGGCCAAAGCTATTACCTTGAATAAAAGATCATGAGCAATATGTTCCCATGGCAGTGATATGGACATCAAGCAGCACCTCAGGGGGAGCATCTCCTCATAAGAACTGCGGGTGGAAGAAGCAGCAGCATAAGCATGCTTTGCTGCGACAGAAGCAACAGATGCTGCCCTCCTTACAATTTTGCCAATGCTTAATCCTTTACTAGAATGATGATCCCATTCTTCCTTGCCTTGGTCTGCAAGAAAGAGAAGTAGCACATCAAATTCCGTCCTTAGATACCAAAACTTAACTGAGTTGATCAACCAGAAAGAAAGAGACATCGAGGTTCTAAATGCAAGCAGCACCTGAGAATACAATGCACTTATCAAATAGTGAAGTAACAGAAATTTGAACAGTTCCAGAAAGAAAGTGTACAAGAAAGGAGCTTGTAAAGAACAGATGAGCAATAGTGCAACTTTGGTAGCCCACTCAAAAAGGAGACAAAAGTTGAAAATTGGTAAAAAAACATGTTAGTATTTTAAATGTTTCCCTACAGTTGAGTATAATTAATTACAAAGATGTAGTTGACACTAATGCATCCAACTATTAATAAAATTTGAAACAAAGGCCCCAAAATTATCAGCACATATATGCTTCTGCAACATGGAAACAAAATTTTCAAATAGAACTATTGTTTCCACAATTGTATAAGCATCAGTGAGTTTTCTACCTACAACACCAGAAACAGCCACCTCAACTTCGCCACGTCCTCCAGGTCCTTTCATGTAAAGTCTATCTGCTTTGCCTGGAGAATGAGCAAGTGACAGAAGGCTCCCAAATCCAGTCCTCCCAGCTGTAAACTCAGGAGAAATAGAGCAACAAAACTAGATCAACTTGAATTACCAACCAGACACCAGACAAACTTTACGGAGAAAAATGCCATGTAAAAATTAAACCTTGAATGTTCATTTGACAGAACAGGATAATAAAAAAGAAATATACATCTCCACTTCCATATAAATGAACTCCAATGGAGGTCTAACACATTTGTAATTTTCTTTTTGAACTATACTGCTTTTCAAGTCTTGATCAATTATTCATGCCAATTCAAACTATGGCAATCCACAAAAAAATGAGGGTCCGCCAAAAATATAAGTTCATTCGAAGGACCCATATTCATTACGCTGTAACTGTTAGCACCTCAAATGGTTTGGTTCCCAACACCAAAAGCTCATGGTTATAACACAAACTCTTAGTCTTACAGCAAATTTAACAATTGTTCAAGGTGATCATTAGAAGCCAAGATTAACAGTGGACAAACTTTGAGGAGAATAATCGCCATGTAAAGAAAAGCTTCAATTTAGAATAAAACTTGAATGTCCATTGGACAGAACAAGGGCCTAACATATCTGCAATTTCCTTTTTGAACTACACTGATATTCAAGTCTTGACTGATTATTCATGCCAAGTCAAACTATGGCCATTCAAATAAAATGGAAAGCTCCCCCAAAAATATGAGTGCATCTGAAGAAGCCACATTCAGTGAGCTGTACCTGTTAGCACCTCAAATGATTTGATTCCAGCACCAAAATCTCGTGGTCATCACACAACTTTTAGTCTTACAGCAAATATAGCTACTGTTTATGGTTATCACTAAATGCCAAGATTATCCTCTAGGTAGTACGTATTGCAAATCAATAACAGTCAGCTTGAACTCAAAAATTAGGTTTAAAGTACAGAGAATGAGCAAAAACAATGGCGTAACTTACTATTGATGGAACATTACAACACAGAACTCAGCTTACCATCATAGGCATCTCGGACCATCTGATAGCTAACAAAGCCTGAGAAAAGAGTAGTCTGCACACAAAAGCAGCAACTTCAAATCACCATCCATGTCCAGTCATTCAAAACTAATGTAACTATGTTCCAGAAAAAATGTCAAGTACCTGAGCTTGACATTTGAAAACTGACTGAGTGTTTAAAATCAATCAGAAACATCTAGGCTATAAACCTAGAATTGATAATTTCTGGTGCATGTTAAAACATTATTGTGCATAAACTTCTCTTAAAACATCTCTTATCATGCTCATTGGAGTATGGACTGTCAATGCCATAAACATTTGCAAATAATATTTGAATTTGCCCCATGCTATTCATTTTTCTGGAGAGAGGAATGAAACAGAGACATACCCATACACTAATAATAATCTCCTCAAATATATTTCAAAACTATAGATGCGATTGAGAGTTGCCAGTTTTAAATTTGAGAAAAATAAAAAGGATTCTTATGATAAAATACCCTTTTTGTATTCTAATTGAATTCCTTTCCTTCCCTTCTAAAATCTTTCCAGTAATATCCACT